CGTCATAGCTCATTACCATAAAGTTGACCAGGGGCAAGTTCAAGCTCAAACGGTGCGCAACGTTTTGCTACGGTTTCCGGGTTGAACGACATGTTTCCTGGAAACGGTGTGCAAACGGGGTTTGAGATACGTTTTCTCTTGTTTGGTGGGTGTGTCAAACATGTCAGCCCAATCAGCAGCAACATGTATATAAACCATGCGGTATTAAAGAGACAGCTGGCACAATGTAATTAACATCAAAATAAATTCACACAAGAGCAAGTATATTGTTTGCACATGTTTATTTACATTAAAAGCAAAATAACTGAAATAATAAGAGCACAAGTATCGATCTGGAACTTCTTTAAGTCTCTCTAAATATCATTTAGTAATTAAAATGTATTGTGGTCCATCCTTTCCTTAGGAAGGTGTGCTACACACTGATTAATGTAACATAAAAATACTATACTATTTATATATTTTGCTATTGTATTGTGGAGTGACACTTTCATAAACTTTTCTATACTCCTCTGATTATATAATGGTAAATATTACAATATCATAGCACAACAACAGTGATCAGCAATAATGATAAGCCTAATACTCACAATAAAAACAATAAGGTCATATAGATCATAACACAGTCTTGGAGGTAAGAGGGTGTTCAACGCACCACCGTTTCCGTTTAAAAAACATTTTGCACTGTTTTGTCGGGGTTGAACGCAGCCCTGATTTCAACTCTCTTTGACTCCCTCACCGTCCAAGACGCGCCGCGCCGCTGCTCGGCTCGCCGCCGGCTCACATTGAAAATTAATTACTTCAGGCCACTTTGACGCTTTCACCGCCGGCGGTGTGAACGCACGGTAATGCCTGTTAAAGCAGCGTTTGTGAGCCCAGTGCTTTGTGTTCAGCGTTACCGGGGAAACCACTATTTTTACCGCTCTAAAAGCGGCACCTAGTGGCAAAGAATGAATTTGCATTTTCATTCAGACCAAGCGAAAAGACCAACAAGTGGGCGGGCAATATGTTAATGTTTCATGTTGAGGTCAACACGAAACGGCTTGGGATTCGTTTGAAAAACGACTCGTTTAAAAGATTCAGAGTCGACTCTTTCTTTTGAGAGACAATTCAGATTTAAAACTTTGCAGGATTTTCATTCACTTAGAGCTGTGTTACACATTGCATGAAAGGTAATTTTCAAAAATCCATAATAGGGGCACTTTAAAATATGCTTTCTCTAAATTAGAAGTCAAAAATAGATTTTAATATCACAAAATCAACTTGACTATATTATTTATTTAACAACGACACAAATTCACTTTTAAGTTACAGCATGTTTTTTAAATCATGACAGTCATTATGCTTTAGAATAAAGATTTAGCTAAAATCACAAGTTTCGTCCCAAATGACGCACTAGCCTATACACTATGTAGGCCTACTCATCCATGTAGTGTATGAATTCTAGAAGATTATTTCGTAATTTATAATCAGCCCCTCCCCCTCTGCTATGTAATTAAAGCTGCAACAATTAACTGCATGAAGTGTCCTGCATTCCACACTTTGTTTTTCTTTTAATTAAATGCATTATCCGGGTATTTAAAAAGCACTTTGTCTTATAGGACTTTTCAGTGTGAACAAACTAATCACACTATTGTTTGCAACTTGGGATGCACAAGCTTATGGTCAATGTTCATGCTGTTTTCTGTATTTCAGGCATGTTCATACTTAATACATCACACAAGTAAATGAACATTTAAGTACAGCATATTACAATAGTGTCTATTGTGTAGTCATCAGAATTATAGAGAAATTGAATTTTCCTTTAGATACAGAAAAAAAGTGATGCAACTCACCAGACACTACAAAAACTCAGTTTAATATGAAAAACATCCAATGTTTTGACATTGTTCGAAGAAGAAAACAAGGGAAAATTACAATAAGGCAATATTTTACCATCCATAAGATGGCAAATTAAAGCTTTGTTCACAAAACTGTTATCAGAGTTCAGATCTTTTATCTGTGTAAAAGTTTAGCTGGTGTTCAGAGGCTACACTCAAGCTGAGGAGGTCAGTGTGGAGCAACCAAACTGACCATCGTATATTTTGTGGGAGACAAAATGTGTAGAGTTGGGATGGGAACCACTGACCTTCAAAATATTCTTGGTAAGACATGAGTTTATTTTTGTGAACATATGATTCAAATAATTTCTGGATTTAATCATTTCAGTCAAATCATTAAATGCTAAATCAGAAGCTTTTTATGTTTACTTCCTTCTGAATGCGAAACTTGCCGTTATTTAAAGTGTAACTGCCCCCTTTGCTGGCTACAGGAAATACCTCCATTCACAACACTACTTTATAATCACCTGTTAGCGTCACTTTCTGTAACTTTCACAGTCGAGATGTAACAGTGTAACATTTTTGAATGCTGGACATTATTTACTTTGAGTCTTTCAAATTGCGGTAAACAATTACATAGTTTTAACGGTAATTAAAAAAATGAAACAATGACATAACTAGGCACTTTTTGCATTTGTAAACTTAACACATAACCTACTATATAACACAAAACAAACTGACAAAATACTTTTTTATTATTGTTATTTATTTAGTACTGCCCTGATGTAGCTATTTCACATAACAAATGTTTATAGTCCACAAAATTAGTTCAAAAGTTTACATGCTTGATTCTTACTGTGTCATTATACTTAGATGTTTTATGTTTTATGAAGGTTGTTTTCATGAGTCCCTTGTTTGTCCTGAGTTCAACTGTTCCCACTGTTCATCAGAAACATCTTCCAGGTCCTGCACATTCTTTGGTTTTCCAGCATCTTTCCATATTTAAACCCTTTCCAGTAGTGAATGTAGGCTATGATTTTGAGATCGATATTCAAGATTGAGATGCTCTCTGATAGCAGACATTTGGCAAAGTTTGCCATGATTTTTTCATATTCACAAAGCCCAGTAAAAAAAAAGCACTTAAGCTAACTGCTTAAAGTAGCTATTTACAACCTAACCTGTAATGTTTTAGTAAATATGAAGACCTCGATTAGCTTGGTCAGGTGTGTTTGATTAGGTTTGGAGCTAAACAGTGGACATCCAGGGCTGGATTTGAGGAACCCTGGCATAGAGTCTTGTGGACTTAACAGACATTGTCTGCAAGTCGGTTAGTGCACATGAATTGTGCTATTTGGGATAAGCCAGGGTGATTTCAGCTCTTATAGACCTTATTCAGGGTAGCGCCATATTTCATTTTTGACAGTAATAAAAACAAGTGTGTGAGGGAAATACAGTGTGTTCAATGGATTGAACTGTTGTTTAAAAACATACAAATTGTTTAGTCGAAGAAACATCTTTCAGACAAAAATTCCACAGAACAGTTTTGAATGTTAATGAATTTGAATCATTAGAGTTTTAAAGCTGAATCATTATTATTATTAATTAGTATTAAGATTATGATTTTTACACTGAAATTAATTTTATGAGCTCAAGTAAAATTTACAAAATGCATTTAAGTTTAGAAAATTCTGCATAAAATACACAATTTGTTCAAGAACATTGATTTAAAAAAAAATCCTCAAACTTGGACAATTTTATTCAAAACGTATAGTATACATTTACATTAAACAATGAAATAAGTTACAACAGGTGCTTTCAAATGATCCACTCTTGCACTCATAATAACACAGCAGGTAAAGCAGGTTTTTATATTTACAACAGAAGGGTGTTGGTGTGTGACATGCAGCATGATCTACATTGTGCATTGTGTAACAATGTTTCATGTCAAATCCCTGCACACGCGTTTCCCTGAAGTTTACTTGATTTACTAATTTCTGGACAATGCTCAGCCCTTTCTAAATTCACAGAGCTGAGGTCAACATGTTAATGGGTGGTTTCCCTCAAAAAATGCATATATATATATATATAAATACATAGATGTTGAAATATAGCCTACAAGTACATACTAAAATAATATTACCCTCTTAAATCTAATATTTACAGGTAGACAACTAGACATACTGAATTTCATTCTGTTTATTTATTATTCCAATATATAATAAAATGTTAACAAATATATTTGTTATAATTATTTATTTGTGCACTAATATTAAAACTGTATAATATTATGCAATGTATATAACAACAACAACAACAATAATAATATAATGTAGATTACACATTTTAGGTAACGTATTCCTGTCACACCCATAGACGTTTTGTGTTTGTTTTCCTCCCCCACATGCTCTATGTCCTAGTTTTCCACCATGTTTGATTATGCCCTTATTTGGTCTTTCCTGTTCCTGTTCCCATTATGTTCATTTGATTCCAGCTGTGTCCCATTTATTCCCCATTTAGTTCATGTATTTAAGCCCTGTGGTTTCCTGAGTCCTGGTGCAGTCTTAAACGTCAGTCCCCTGTGCTACATGTGTGTTCCTATATGGATTATTAGACTGTTGCTTGTAATTCTCCTGCATTCTCATCGCTCCTCGCTCCAACACAGTAGGCACCGTGACAATTCTTGATTTCTTTTGGATTATTTTTGACCCAAAATATTTCTCACATTGATTTCAATAAGACTATTTTATACCATCTCTTAAATGAAAGTACAAAGAAAAAAAATATTGCATTCTTTTTTTTGTAAACAATATGAATTCATTAAATATGCCTTTATTTCAGGGTTTCACAGGGGGTTCATGAGTTGATGAAAAGCTAATAATTAAAATGTAATATTAAACGAAATAAATATTTTTAAAGGAAAAACAAGAACCAAATCCTTAACACTAAACAAGGTTTTATTTTATTTATTAATTTGCATATTATGTGACCATCAAATAAAACTTCTAATTTGACATTATTAAAAAGTGCGTCGGGAAGTTAGGAGAACCACGCAACAGGCTCGAAGGAAATGAAAAACTCTCAGGTTCTCACGTGACCAATATCCTCTATCTAATCCTGTCTCGGCCTATTTTGTCATCCTCCACAAGGGGGCGCAGGGACTCACTCTCCCCCTCTACACTGTCCCAGTCTGGCGTACCAAAACAAATCATCCATCGTTCCGTGCAATGCGATCCCACGCCGCCTTACGGCTCTCTCAGCAAGTTTGTGTGAGCCAGCCTGTGATAGTGTTCATAGAAAGACTGAAGTTTACAGATGTGAGGAATGGTGTCCCGGTGCGATTCATGCAGGAGAGAGCACCTAAATAACGAGCGACTCGCCGGCGGTGGAGCCGAGCGTTAACCCGCGATCAACAGGACGCTCGCTCCGGTCTGTCCCGACAGACAGCAGCGTGGTTTGGATGAGCTCAGATCCCAACCAGCTCACACACAGGTTGGACACACAGACGGCTGCTTGAAGTTGACGAAAAGGTGCGTAAAGTGAAATGTTGCGCTTCTATTTGTGTTTGTGTTTACCTGCTTTATGTCATGCTGCTTTTGTTGATCTCCAGACTAATGGGAATAATGAAGCAGGCTAGTCAAATCAGCTAACAAAGAAACTCCACGCGAGCTATTTACATTTCTTACCATTACAAAATATACCATGGTAACCATAATTAAATACCATAGTTACTGTATGTATTGTTACTGCAGCAAAACTGAAGTTTTCTCAGGAAAATTAAAGTATTATGGTATTAGTATTATGGTAATAGCTTGTCAACAAAATAGAACTAAAACAAACTGACGAATATTGTGAAAGCTTCTTACACAATTAGAAAGGGACCATAATAGCCTAATAACTCATTTATTCCTAAATAATGCTTTCCCCGCTGCAACCGTGTATTATTGTATTTTAAGGGTCTTTGTGCTTTTATTTTACCATTTTATGGACGGACATTTCTATAAAGCTCGAAATATTGTTGACTTTACGTTTCTGCGTACATTTGTATCCTTGATTTTACAGTGTACAATGTGGTGGACTGATGCTTGATTTTTTTTATATAAATAATAATTTCGATTTATTAGTATCATTGTTATTATTTTCATAATAAGCATTGAGTTTTACTGTAGCTGTTTATTTCTGGTTGTTGTTAATCAAGTTTTTCTACAGTCAGTCAAACTGTAGATCTTTTGTTATGGTCTGTCTGTGATTGTGTTCTTGGTAAGATTGTGACACTGTATGCATGCCTTACAAGTTTCTGAGTCAGCTTTTTTCTGTCTTGAAACATTTGCATACAGTACATGAGTTGGTCTTTAAAGGGGACGGTATCATTTACACTGCCATTCAAATGTTTGGTGTCAGTTAGTTAGAGTTTTTTTCTTTTAAATAGCAAGGATGCTGTAAATTCATCTAAAGTGAATGTAAATACATTTATAATGTTACAAAAGATTTCTTTTTCAAATACATTTATATTCATAAAATAATCCTAAACAACTGTTTTTGATAATAATAAGAACATTTTCTTGAGCATCAAATCAGCATATTAGAATGATTTCTGAAAGATCATGTGACACTGAAGACTGGAGCAATGGCTGCTGGAAATTCAGCTTTGCCATCACGGAAAATAAATTACATATAAAATATAAAATGGTTATTTAAAATTTTTCAAAATATTTCACAATATTACTCTTTGTACTATATTTTTGATGAAATAAATGCAGCCTTGGTGAGCACAAGAGACTTCTTTAAAAAACATTAACAATTTTTGAACTTTAGTGTATGTGTCTGAGCGGTCGATCAAAGTAAATTCAGTTGAATCTTAATTAATTCACCCAAATACGGCATCCTTTCACTTTTTGGTATTCACATTTTTCTTCGTGAATTCCACTTTCCCAGTAGTTTTTCCTAGCAGGTGTGCTTTAAATGATTTTCTGCTGGTTATTTACACAGAAATACGCTGAATGATGCCAGCTGTGTATTCAGGTGATGAGCTTCATGTGTGTGTGCTGAAGCCCTGCCAGTTCTGCTCATTCATTGGTGCTGTTGCTCAGGTTGAGCATGGAAAGTATTTTCCTTCTGCAAAACTGGCTGAACTAGAGTGTCAGTTGTGCGCACACACGCTGAAAAAAAGACAGGAAACACAGTGACATAAAAAGGTTTCAGGGCAGTCAGTTGGTCCTTGCTGATTTGGGTTCTTGCCAGGTTAGTTGAAAGATGGTAAAACTATACATAAAACTGATACATTCTTTCTTAGTGTCAATCACCTGTGCTCACTACCGTTTTTAAAATGATTTTCAGTTTTGGCTTAAAATAGTTTTATTTGTAAGGACACAGAAGTATTTTATTTGACTTAAGCACATTGGCTTGTTTTTTTTATATTTTCTTTAGCTCAGAGATTTTCTATGCAAAGTTGGAAAGAGGGTGAGGTTCAGAGCATTGCCGTTGTCCTAGAACCACTTGCATGTAAAAGTACTTAGAAATTTAAACTTAAGTTAAAGTATGGATACTTTGTGAGAATTAGTATCTTACCTTAAGCATACTAGAGTGAAAGTACAAGATGTTTCTGCTTTGCTGTGTATTCAACAATTTAAAAGTAAATATTATTATTATTTTTTTTAATGGACTGAAATCAAGACAGTGTACGGTTTTTGATTCACACAAAAATAAGAATTTGCTGAAAAGGCCATCCAAGATGTAGATTTTGTTTCTTCATCAGAACAGATTTAGAGTCATTACATACACTACAATAGCATTACATTACTTGCTCACCAATGGATTGTCTGCAGTGAATGGGTGCCGTCAAGATGAAAGCCCTAAAAGCTCTTTAAAAATATCACAATAATCCACAATTAATCCACACGATTTAGTCCATCAATGAATGTCTTATTAAAGTTAAGCGTGTTTAAGCTGCGTGTTTGTGAGAAACATTCATCATTAAGACTTCTTAACTTTAAACCATCACTTCTGGCCAAAATACCAGTTCCGTAATAATACTTCACAACATGTTAATTGATGGACTGGAGTGGTCAATTACTTTTTACTTAAGTAGTAACATTCACTGTAACATGAGCTCAGTAAGAAAGTATAAAATTTTTGTGATGATAGATGGTAGTCATGGTGATCACTGATCAGTAGCATGTACCTTGTATTTTGATTATCTAATTGAAACTGAAAGCAGTAAAAAGTGACCTGGGTGGTGCACAGCAGGGGATACTGCGCCTCTCTAGGGCTGGGCAATATGACGATATTATCGTATATCGACAATGTCTCATAAGTATCGCGATGTCAACAGTCAGGTAACAGACGATTATCGACATTATCGGAAAAAAATGACACATGATAAACCTAGTAAGTTGCAAAATATATTTTACATAGCCCCATAGTCACTATAGGCCTTTTTGCATGCAAGAATGAAATAACTTAGTAGGAGGGTTGGGAATCGAAAAGCCATTCCAATTTCGGAAATCAGATCAGATGCGTACAGTCAGGAATCAAATTACTTGTTATAAAATTACATTTCGATTCTGCGTCTCAATTTCTGTATGCGCATTTATTGTGATTTCAAAAGATTCAACTGCAAGAAGACGAAATAGAACTCACTTCTGCACTCACGCGCTGTGCACTCACACACACAAAGCGCACGCACAAAAGCCGCCTCTTACGCGATCACTGGACTGAGCTCTCTTTCTCGCGTTCTTACACATTCGAATGGACAACTACACACAGAATTATATCAGAATATCCCATAAATACAATCGGGTATGTCTTAAGTGAACGTAAAGAGTTGAGAAAGAAAACAAGGGTGTATTGGATCCGTGCATTGACAGTAGCCGCTGCCGCTGCCGCTGCCGCCAGTCATTATAATGTTAAAGCACAAAAGAAAAGCAAATCCCTCACTGATCTCGACTGAATCACTTTTGTAACCGTTTATATTTTATTTGCCTGTATGCGATTATTTTGGAGATGCGTTCCAATATAATTTATAATATATTTAGGGTATAGGCCTATTCTATTTTGAGCTGCAGTTTAATAAAAGTTAAACAGAAAAAAGACAAAAAGTAGCACTGCATGTGTTACTGAATATTTATTTAAACAGACTGTATAATGATGAAAAACCACAAACATTAAAATATTTAAAAAATAATTAAAATACACAAATTCCTTCAGTGCAGTATTTTTACAGATTTTGTAAACCGTGTACATACAATATAATTGTTTAATTAAGCTGAGATATAGCACTATAAATCCCTGCTTCTAATTAAATAAAGCAGTTATTTTTATTTCATTAAAAACGGACCGAAAGAGACCTCCGAACTAGTAAAGGAAAAAAAAAAATTTTTTTGCTCCGAATTCATTTTTAATCCCTGCATGACTTTAGTCATGCATGCTAAATATCAAATACGTTATAGCTTGACTACAAGTTTAAAAACAACGCTGCAATTGTTATAATTAAGGAAATTA